AACCAAGTCCATATAATGCACTCGTAGGATGAAGATGGCAGGGCATACCTGTACGACAATTAACATATTCACCAATTTTTAGCAAAATTAAGTTTCGGAAAAGTAGACAATCTAATTGGCCGATCATAGACAAATCGGTATAAATCAATATTTTTCGGTGTCCCTGATATCAGGATATACAGCTCATAATCATCACCTGTTTTTTTTTAACTGCTTGTTCAAAAGGATAACTTCATATTCAGTAATTATTGATCATGAATAATACCGGAGGACTTTACAAAAGAACAATTGATAAAAGTAAGATCCAAAAAAGAGAAAGGGACAGTGATGTGAAAGACGAAATGCGTGATAGAGAAAAAAGCTCTGATCATAGTCGTTATAGTCCTAGCCGTCATAGTCCTAATCGTCGTTCCCCTTATCGGAATTCGCCACGCATAAGTCGAAGTGATTGGGATTCTACTCCAACAAGATCAAGCACTCCAACAAGGTCGAGCACGCCACGCATAAGTCGAAGTGATTGGGATTCTACTCCAACGAGATCGAACACGCCTCGGTTCTCTGGTGGTGGACTGACTTCTCGAAAAGGTATGAACACTGAATTCATCTAAAAATTATCTTGCATCTGTCAATTTACATTTTATTAAATATAAATTATTAGAATATCAACCTATGAGAGATTTTCCCACTCCTCGACTTGCGTCGTTTGATTACGATGAAATGGAATATGCTTTTAATCAGGACGACGAAGACATAAATGATGATCGTGAAAAGCGTGACTGGGAAGAAGAACAACGGCAATTGGATCGCGACTGGTACAGCATGGAAGAGTCGTCTGGAGTAAGTGATAATATAATTTCTTACAAAATTCACATATAAACATATTAAAATTCTTAATTTTGTAATCTAGGCAATGGACGACACACATAATCCCTTTGCAGACTATTCAGAATTTGTTGAAAAAAAAGAGGCTGAGCTCGCTCAAAGACAGCTTGTGTGTGTGATTTCTATTCAATCATTATAATTATTACAGTCGTCCTCCTTAAATGCAATCTCTAATTCGGCCTATAACTAGAGGACCTCTTTATTTTAATCTCAATAAATGCAATTATTCTTTAAATGCACGTTCCGAGTTGGTCTGGGCACATTGCATTTAGAGGTTTGACTGTTTATGCAAAACTTTGTGTTATATCCTATACTAATTACTTAATATATGTAAATTAGAAAAAACTTACCGCAAGACAAGAACAATATAATAAAGATAATGAACTCTGGGAAACAAATCGTATGCTTACTTCCGGTATCGTGCAGAGAAAGGAAATCGATTTGGATTTTGATGGTGATTCGGAAGTAAGCATGAAACTCCATACTTTATTACGGTAGTCTTGAAAATAAAGTAATTTATTAATATGATTATTGTTTTATTTAGGCACGAGTGCATTTATTAGTACATGATATTAGACCACCATTTCTTGATGGTCGCATGGTTTTCACAAAACAATTGGGAGCTGTTCAATCAGTTAAGGACCCTACTTCTGATTTATCTGTCTTCTCTAGAAAAGGAAGTCAATTGGTAAAAGAAAAGAGAGAACAAATAGAACGCCAAAAGGTTTGTCATAATGAAGTCTATAAAATATATGCCTGAATACTATATTAAACCATTTCATTGATGATTCTATCAATAGGCCGCTAAGAGTGTTGTAGATGTTGCAGGCACTGCTTTGGGTAACATTATGGGTGTCAAAGCTTCTGATGAAGATTCTGCAGGTAGTTTTTAAGTTGTTTTACGCAAGTCATTATCAATTTAGCTTGCTTAAAAAAAATTTTTTTTTTTATACATATATAGCACCGACTACGAATTCAACAGGCGAATTGGAAACTCCTAAAGGTGATTCGCAATTTGCATCTCATCTGAAAGCAGCTGAAGCTGTCAGTTCTTTTTCTAGATTAAAATCTCTTCGCGAACAACGAGAGTTTTTGCCTGCCTTTGCAGTCCGTGAAGAATTATTAAGAATAATTAGAGATAACCAAGGTACTCTTTTAATTTTTACTTATTAATAATTTCGAATTCCTGAACTTATATACTATTTTACTGGTTATAGTTGTTGTAGTGGTTGGAGAAACTGGTTCTGGTAAAACGACACAATTAACACAGTATCTTTATGAAGATGGATACAACAATTATGGCATTATAGGTTGTACGCAACCTCGTCGTGTTGCTGCCATGTCTGTTGCAAAACGTGTTAGTGAAGAAATGGGGGTAAGTTTTAATCCTAAAATGTTCATTTATTACGTTCAAAATAATAAACTAAAGAATTTACTTTTAGTGCAAACTCGGAACGACTGTGGGATATGCTATTCGTTTTGAAGATTGTACTTGCGAAAGCACAGTAATAAAGTGTTAGTATTTTATACATTACAGTTATGTTGATTTTATTCTCATTTGTAACGTTGTGATTTTATCTTCAGACATGACAGATGGTGTGTTACTCCGTGAGTCACTTAAAGAACCTGATCTTGATCATTATAGCACTATTATTATGGACGAAGCTCACGAACGTTCATTGCAAACGGATGTCATAATGGGACTATTAAAACAGGGTACATATCTTAATTAAAGCTTGATCAATTTCACATTAATTATTTAAAATTTTGATAATTTTTCCATATAGTACTTACTCGTCGGCGAGACTTAAAGCTAATTGTTACATCTGCGACAATGAATGCTGAAAAGGTATTTACCATAAAGTAATTTATTATTAGATTTGTGACAATATAACTAATAAGACAACTTTTCAAATAGTTTTCATTATTTTTTGGAAATTGTCCCACTTTCAAAATTCCTGGTCGTACTTTTCCCGTGGAAGTAATGTTCAGTAAAACACCGTGTGAAGATTATGTAGACAGTGCCGTAAAACAAGTACTGGCAATTCATCTTGGCCATCCGTCAGGTGACATATTGGTTTTCATGACTGGACAAGAAGACATTGAAATAACTTGTAAAGTAATAACAGGTGCGCGTATAGATATGTGTTTACTTTATTTGAACCATTAGTTACAGAATGCTTATAAGAACTATCATTTTGCATAATAGAACGTCTACAACAATTGGATGATCCGCCAGAATTAGCAGTTCTTCCGATATATTCTCAACTACCCGCCGATTTACAAGCTAAAATATTCGAGAAAGCCCCTGATAACGCAAGAAAAGTGATCGTTGCAACAAACATCGCTGAGACTTCATTAACTGGTAAACTTTATATAATTTTTTTTTTTTTAACATTATACACATAATAATAATTAATCATATTCTTACTGATATTATTCTTTATAGTTGATGGTATTATGTATGTTGTCGATACTGGATATAATAAACTTAAAGTATTCAATCCAAAAATTGGTATGGATTCTTTACAAATCACACCAATTAGTCAGGCCAATGCGAACCAAAGATCAGGTCGTGCAGGAAGAACTGGAGCTGGAACATGCTATCGTCTTTATACCGAGCATGCCTATCAGCACGAGATGTTTATGAATACTATACCTGAGATTCAACGGACAAATCTTGCTAATGTCGTACTTTTACTTAAGTCATTGGGAGTTAAAAATCTACTGGATTTTGACTTCATGGATCCTCCACCTCAGGTACATTCATATCTCAACGTACCTTATTTATAGTTTTGTTATTTTAAAATAGTCAAATTTCATTTTATCTAAATTCATTTTAATTCGTCAATTGTTATATAAAAAAAATTAAATTTACATTTTTGGTATTACTAGGATAATATATTAAATTCAATGTATCAATTGTGGATACTCGGTGCATTGGATAACACAGGAGAGTTGACGCCGCTGGGCCGTAGAATGGTCGAATTTCCATTGGATCCTTCACTATCAAAGATGTTAATTGTATCTGAAGAACTGGAATGTACTGCTGAAATTTTGGTATACTTTTTAATGCATTTCGTATTTTTTGATTATTATCGTTATATTGTCACATTTTAATTTAAAATTTTAATTTAATTTTAGACTATCGTATCTATGCTTTCTGTACCTTCTGTATTTTATCGACCAAAAGAACGGATGGAACAGAGTGATGCGGCAAGGGAAAAATTTTTTGTACCAGAAAGTGATCATTTGACACTTTTACATGTCTACACCCAATGGAAGTCACATGGGTAAATATATTGTCCAACAAAGTTTAAGGTTTATACATATATATTTGTAATATTCACACATTTTTATCTTAGATACCGTGACGATTGGTGCATAAAACATTATATTCACTCTAAGGCAATGAGGAAGGCTCAGGAAGTGCGATTACAACTGCTTGATATTATGAAGGCTGAAAAGATGGCAATTGTGTCTTGCGGTACAGATTGGGACGTAGTTAGAAAATGTATTTGTTCTGCATATTTTCACCAAGCTGCAAGGGTTAAAGGAATTGGTGAATATGTTAATTGTCGTACAGGTATGCCCTGCCATCTTCATCCTACGAGTGCATTATATGGACTTGGTT